TTGTCTTTCTGTACCTGGCTTATTTTACTTAACATAATGACCTCTAGTTCCATTCATATTGCTGCACACGACAGAATTTCAGTCTTTTTTTATGGCCAACTAGTATTCCATTGTATGTATATATAACCCACTTTCTTAATTCATTTGTTGATGGATACATAAGTTGATTCCGTATCTTTGCTATTGTGAATAGTGTTGTGATAAGTTTTTAATGTTATTTATTTATTTATTTATTTATTTATGCATGCTTGTGCTTTACTATCTAAGAATCCATTGCCAAATCTAAGGTCATGAAGGTTTTTGGGTTTTTTTTGAGACAGGGTCTTGCTTTGTTGCCCAGACTGGAGTGCAGTGGCATGATCTCAGCTCACTGAAGTCTCAAGCTCCTGGACCCAAGCCTTCCTTTCCACTTTAGCCTCCCAAGTAGCTGGAACCATAAGTGTCCCTCACCACACCTGGCTAATTTTGTTTATTTTTTTGTAGAGGCAAGGTTTCACTATGTTGCCTAGACTATGAAGATTTACTCCTATGTTTTCTTCTAAGAGTTTTATGGTTTTTAGCTCATATATTTAGGTCATTGATCCATTTAGAATTTATTTTTGTATATGATATGAGGTATGGGATCCAAATTTATTCTTTTGCCTATGTATATCCAATTGTCTCAACATTATTTAATGAAAAGAGTCTTTTCCATTGAGTAGTCATGGCACCATTGTCAAAAATAAATTGACCACCCAATCATGAGTTTATTTCTGGACTGTCATTTCCTTTCAGTGGATCTATATGAATCTATATGTCTGTCCTTTTGCTGGTACCACATTGTTTTGATTATTGTAGCTTTTTTTTTTTTTTTGAGACAGAGTCTGGCTCTGTCATCCAGGTTGAAGTACAGTGGCTCAGTCTTTGCTTACTGCAACCTTTGCCTCCCAGGCTCAAGCCATTCCCTCACCTTAAGCCTCCCTTGTAGCTGGGATTGTAGGTGGCCAACACCACACTTGGCTAATTTTTGTTTTTTCTTTTTGTTTTGATAGAGACAGGGTTTCACCATGTTGCCCAGGCTGGTCTTGAACTCCTGGGCTCAAGCTGTCTGCCGGCCTCAGCCTCCCAAAGTGCTGGGGTTACAGGCATGAGCCACCATGCTCGACTGATCACTGTAGCTTTGTAGTGAGATTTGCATTCATGACATATGTCTTCCATCTTTATTCTTCTTTTTCAAGATTGTCATGTTAACGTTTTGAGAAGTCTTTAGTAAGGAAAATTGTTTGGTTTTAATCTTGTGTTTCTCACATGCTTCTGATGATGAAATTGCTTTTTTATATAATAGCTAACAACATCCTGTGGGACTGGTATTCTGTGGAAACATTTTTTGAGAAGGGTGGGAAAAAAGTGACTATGCGGGGAATATTTTATTTGCCTTATCACGTCAGCAATATAGATAGGAATAGATTGAGTTAAACTCCCCCTTCCCATTTACTTTTTCTGTTTAGTCATGAAATAATTCATTCTAATGTTTTTTTGTTGTTGTCATTGTCAAAATATTAAACTTATAATTTTTTAGACAGGGTCTTATTCCTGTTGCCTGGGTTGGAGTGCAGTGGCACGATGACAGCTCACTGCAGCCTTGACTTCCTGGGCTCAAGAGATCCTCCCACCTTAGCCTCCCAAGTAGGTGGGACTACAGGTGCGCACCACAATGCCTGACTAATTTTTGTATTTTTTTTTTGTTCGTAGAGTTGGGGCTTCATCATGTTGCCCAGGCTGGCCTTGGGCTCCTGGGCTCAAGTGATCTGCCCGAGTTGGCCTTCCGAAGTGCAGGGATTACAAGTGTGAGCCACTGTGCCTGGCCTAATTTTGTTAATTGGGTAAATAATGATACCATTGCCATACTTCCCCCTTAACCTTAATAATTTTGCTTTTGTTGTTTAAAAAATGTTTCTCAATATGGAAAATTTCACACATACAGGAAAGTAGAAAGAATATTGCAGTGAACCCCCATGTGCCTATCATTTAGCTTCAACAGTTATCAGCTTATGACCAATCTTATTTTATGAACACCAACCCTCACCCCTAACTCCTGGGTTGATTATTTTAAACCATATCTAGACATTATATAGTTTCATCCCTGAACACTTTAGTATGTATTTTTTAAAAGATAAGGGTTTATTTTATTTATTAATTAAAAAAATTTATTTAGTTAATTTTTCTGTAGACATGGAATCTTTCTCTGTTGCCCAGGCTGGTCTCAAACTCTTGGCCCCAAGCAGTCCTCAGCTTCCCAAAGTGATGGGGGCCACTGTGCCTGGCCCAAAGATAGGGGTTTAAAAAAATACTAATCATTATCACACCTAAAAAAGTAATAATAATTCCTTAGTTACATCAAATATCCAAATGTCCTCATTTACTGGTTTTCAGGGTGTTTTGAGTCTTCAGATAAAACTGTGAATATTTACTAGTTTCACCTTTCAGCAGAATGCCTGTTATTTTTAAATACTCGAGTAGTTATAAATGTTAGATGTCAGATTTATAAGTTATAAATGTCAGATTTTACTCAAAGTATTATTTTATCCTTTGGATTTAAATTATCTTGAGACCCAAAAGGATCATATTTGGAATTATTGCTTCCTGTAAAAAAAAACAAAACTATTTTCTAGTATAATAGCTCATTAAGAAATATTTTTAATAGATTGTAGAATCTAAATAAAGCAAATAGTTCATTGTAAAAGAATATTTTGTGCATTTCATGTTTGCAAAACACAGAGTGATTATATCCCAAAGCAGGATTATTCCATGACTGTGAAGGCTGTCAGAACTAGGTGCATCTACAAAGGCCTCTAGAGAAGAAGGGATGTTTGTGTTTATGCTCTGCATTATGATAATTATTATGGGAATGATTTGCCCAGAAAGACGTATAGTCATTTCTTAGTTATTCATAGACTGCTTGATTAGTTTGTGGATTATTCAGTTTTTATTTATACTTCTTTTCATTGTGATCCATTACCATCTTTGTCTGTAAACAAAAAGAAATGGTGGAAGAGAAGGAAAATCAGATTAATCAAGTTGAACATTTAAAAAAACTTGGCTTAGGCTAAATGGTTTAGTTAATATAATAAATACTAATTTATTTTTTTCCCACATTTCATCTAGGAAGGGAAAGCAAATCAGTAATGCCTTTCTCTGTCCCCATTGAACTGCCCCATTGACAGACAGGACTCTAGGCATGACCTTTCTTTGCTACCGTTATCTTGAGCCATGCTGGGTGTTCCCATAGTTCTGTTTTTCTGCCCCCAACAGATTGTTGGTCATGACCAATTCTCTCTTTGGGACTAGTAATCCGCTACTTCCCAGGGTTGCATTTTCTCAACAGAAATTGTATTCAAAAATAAAGATCTTGACTTCTGCTCTGGCCAGAAACTGACTCTTGCCTGAAAAACTGATAAATTAGACTTCATCATATGGAAACTTTTGCTTTGCAAGTAATACTGTTAAGAGAATGAAAAGACAGGACGTAGACTGGGAGAAAATATTTGAAAACATATATCTAACAAAGGACACGTTTTCAGATTGTATAATGAACTTTTAAAGCTCAGTAATATGAAAATAAACAGTCCAATTAAAAAATGGTGAAAATATTTGAACATATACTTCATCAAAGAAGATACACAGTTGGCAAATAGGTACATGAAAAGATGCTCAGTGTCATTAGTTATTGGGGAAATGCAAATTAAAACTAAAATGAGGTAACTACTACATGCCTATTTGATTGTCTGTAAAACCTCAAGAAACCAAAAACAAAAAATGATCATGCCAAGTGTTGGTGAGGATGTGGAACAAAGGAAAATTTCATATATTGCTGTTAGGAATGTAAGTTGGCACCGTCACTTTGGAAAACAGTGTGGCAGTTTCTTAAAATATTCAATATGGCTGGGTGCCGTGGCTCACGCCTGTAGTCCCAGCACTTTGGGAGGCCGAGGCGGGCGGATCATGAGGTCAGGAGATTGAGACCATCCTGGCTAACACGGTGAAATCCCATCTCTACTAAAAATACAAAAAATTAGCCGGGCGTTGTGGCGGGTGCCTGTAGTCCCAGCTACTCAGCAGGCTGAGGCAGGAGAATGGTGTGAACCTGAGAGGCAGAGCTTGCAGTGAGCCTAGATGGCGCCACTGCACTCCAGCCTAGGCAACAGAGCGAGACTTGTCTCAAAAAAAAGAAAAGAAAAAAAAAAAATTCAATATGTACCTATCATTTGACCCATTCATTCCATTCTTCATTGTTTACCCCAGAGAAATGAAAGTGTGTGTCTTTACAAAGTCTTGCTCGCAAATGCTCATAGTAGTTTTATTTGTAATTGCCTAAACTGGAAACAACTCAAATGTCCATCAGTAGGTGAACAGATAAACCAGTTGTGGTCTATTAACAAAATGGAACAATATTTAACAATGAGAATGAATGAACTGTTGATGCATACAACCACATGGATAGGTGTCAAAATAATTATGTAAGGGGAAAGAAGCCTGGCAATAGAAAGCATAATATATGATTCAGTTTATAGACAACTCCAGAAAATACGAACTGCTCTATAGTGACAAAAAGTAGATTTGTGATTACTTGGATATGTGGTGGGGTGGTGAGGACTGGAGGAAGGCATTACCAAGAGACATAAGGTATCTTTTAAGAGTGATGGAAATGTTTCCTATATTGATTGTGGCAGTGATTTAATGGATGTGTACGTGTTTGTGTGTGTGTATAAAAATTTATCAAAAAGTATATTTTCACTGTGTGTAGCTTATTATATATAAGTTATACCTCAATGAAGTGTAAAGAAAAAAAAGCAAGCTCTGGCACATTCTTCCTGAGTGTGAATTTTACATTGCGTTCTTGCAAAGAAAAAGAAATGAGGCTGCAGGTCCACTAATCTAAAGTGTTAATTATCATTCTGGACTGTAGTGATCCATATCTTCTTTAAATACCAATGTTCATGAATTTAAACTTTTGTTTTCAGGCAACTACTCTTAGAGTGAGGAAATTAGAAGAAAACATTGAAGCAGAAAGAGCAGCGCATTTGGAATCAAAATTTAATTCTGAAATTATTCAGGTAAAATGTAAACAAATATTTTGGCCTGCATTTTCTTAATTTGTGTTATAACAGCTGGGAAAAACAGCACTATGTTCAGAGAACTAAGGTGTGCATTGAGAATGGGTCACATATTATGATGACACTCATTATTGTATATAAGGTTAGCATACAGTTGAGATATACTACCTTAGTGGAGGAGTTGGCACACTACAGCCTACCAGGTCTCACCCACTGTCTGTTCTCGTGAAGTTTTGTCTTGTCCATAGCTGCTTTTGTGCTACAGTGGCAGAGTGGAGTAGTAGTGACAGAGAACTTATCTGGCAGTCTACAAAGAAATTTGCGGATTAGAGTGTCCTTTTTCCCAACAGCGGTGGGATGAATTTCTTTTTGAGAACATTGAAAAAACATGCATGTTATTTATTGAGTGCATATCCTATGCATGTCACTGTATTAAGAGCTGAAGGTGTAAAGATGAATGAACTCCTTTTGTAACTTACATTTCGTTACCAGAGATACTAAATATCTATCTCCAGATATATAGATGCTTACATAGATGTACAAAATACTGAAATACAATGGGAATATAATAAAGAAAAGGATTAAATCTGGGAGGGGAATTAAATGGAGGCCTCCTAAGGAAACTATCCTTTTTGCTATGCCTTAGAGAATGAGAAGGAATTTCTAAGAGAAGTGAGAGCAGAACATTTTATTAGGGGTTGGCACACTACTGCACATGGGCCAAGTCTGACCTGCAGCCTGTTTCTGTAAAGTTTTATTAGAAGATAGCCACGCCCATTTGTTTACATATTGTTTATGGCTGCTTGTCGAGACAGACCTATGGTCCACAAAAACTAAAATATTTACTCTGTGGCCCTTTACAGAAAATGTTTACTGACCACTGTTCTAAACAACTGCTTGGATAAAGCCACTAAATAAGAATGTATTTGTTTCCTTTTGAGAAATACTTGCATTGTTGAGTGGTAGAGCTTTGGGAAAAGTTTGGAGATAATGGTGGAAAGGCATGATGAAGACTAATTATGAAAGTCTTTTTTCATGCTAAGAAACTTAGACTTATTTTGAAAGCAGTGGAAAGCCACTGCAGCTTTTGGGACACACAGATATGAAATCTAAGTTTAAGAAAATGGCTCTGGTACCATATTGGTAGATAAAGGAAGGGAGTGGAGATAGGAGACTGGTTGAAGAGATGATGAACACCTGAATCAAGGCAATAACTGTAGCAATGGAAAGAAGGGCTCCTGTGTCAGAATAATAGTCCCTCAAAGATGTCCACATCTGTCCTCATCCTCAGAACCTGTGAATATGTTACCTTACATGGCAGATAGGACTTTGCAGATGTGATTTATTTGAGGATCTTGAGATGGGAGTTTGTCCCAGTTTATCTAATTGAGACTGATGTAATCATAAGGGTCCTGGCAGGAGGGTCACAGTCAGAGATAGAGATGTGATGACAGAAGCAGAGATCAGAGTAGGCCACGATGAGCCCAGGAATGTGGGTGGCCTCCAGAAATTGGAAAAGGCATGATAAGATTTCTTCCCTAGAGTCTCCAGAAGGAATGGAGCCTTGCTGACACTGTGACTTTAGCACCAGAAGACCCATTTCAGACTTCCGATAGACTGTAAGATAATACATTTATGTCATTTTAAGTTGCCAGTTTATGGTAATTGGTAATAGCAGTGATTGGAAAGATACAGGGACAAACTGAGAATGCATGATTTTAGGTAACAAATTTGCAGTGTGAGGGGAAGAGCAATAGAAGAGAACACCAAGGTCTGCAATATGTGTGAAAGTAGGCAGATGCAGTTGACTGTCAGACTCTGAAATCTGAAGAGAGACAATGGTAAGTTTTGAACATGTTGACTTTGAGGAGCAGTTTAGAGGTTCATAGTGCCCTTTGAGAATATGGTCATGCAAAGTCACCTAACAATGTACATTTACTCTTGTCATTCTGCTTTTTTGTGAACAGTTCCTTTCTTTATATTCTCTCAAGCACCTGCTGGTAGCTTATCTTGGATCAGCCAGTTTCCCAGTGTTAGGAAAGTTAAGGAAATTAGGTAGGAGGAGATTTGTTGGAACTGCTACTTTTTTGATTTTAATATTTAATAGACAATTATGACTTTTTGCTTAAATGTTTTCTCAGCATTTTGATAGTATGCTTTAAATCTAATATGATATTTTTTATGCTTCTGTTAAAGAGATTAATTTTAATGAAGATTATATACCTATAATAGTATTTTTGTTTGCTTAAATCTAGGAAGGTAGAAAGTATCTTTATGAACTTAGATTCTCAGTATAAACTGTTACGATGTTCTTATTTCATGTTATTTAGCTGGCCAGTTATTACTTTTGAGCACTACTTTGTGAACAAATGTAATAGACTGTATGAAAATAAAATATATACACTTATTTCCAGAAGAAAAAGTAGTTTTAAGCTTATTTGGCTTTAGCAAGTTTGAAAATCATCTCACTTTATTTGTGCTCTTGAATTTCATATCAAGGAGGATGGTGGGATTGCCAAAATCAGTAAATGAAAAGTAGCTTTAAGCAGATAGATTAAAACTAATTTAGACTTAAAAAAGTTATTGCCTTGATTTAGGTGTTTATTATCTCTTCACCCAACCTCCTATCACCACTCCCTTACTTTATTTGCCAGTGTTAGTTACCAGAGTTATTTTTCTAAAACTTAGATTTGATATCTACATCAAAAGCTACTTATATTAAAAGCTACTGCTTTTAATATGTCTAAATTACTTAATTTACATTTTAAAAGACTTAGACTTTTTTCCTATCTTGTTTTAATACAATTTATAGTGTTTTACCTTATTGTTTAAATAACTCCTAATGCAAGATGCAACTATATTTGTAAAGATTTTGATTAAAATTTGTGTTTTTACTTTTGACTTTAATGAAATGTTCTTTTTACCTAAAATTCTCAGATCCCTATATTCGAGCATGTCTGCTAAAGCAAACTTGTATACTTTTCTTTAAGATCAGGTCCCCAGAATGGCATCAATAAGTAATAAGACTGAAGTTTTCTTTTTCTTTTCTTTTCTTTTCTTTTTTTTGTTTCTTTTTATGATTTCAGCTTTTATTTTAGATTCTGGGGGTATATGTGTGGTTTGTTACCTGGATATATTGCCTAATGCTAAGGTTTGGTGCATGATTGATTTTGTCAGCCAGGTATTGAGTATAGTACCCAATCGTTAATTTTTCAACTCTTACCCCCTTCCTGCCCTCTTCCCTCTAGTAGTCCCCAGTGTATATTGCTGTCATCTTTATGTCCACAGTTATCCAGTGTTTAGCTTCTACTTATAAGTGAGAATATGCGGTATTTGGTTTTCTGTTCCTGTGTTATTTTGCTTAGGATAAGGGCTTCCAGCTGCATCCATGTTGCAGCATAGGACATGATTTTGTTCTTTTTTGTGGCTGCATAGTAATCCATGGTGTATATGTACCACATTTCCTTTATCCAATCCATCGTTGATTGATGAGCACCTGCGTTGATTCCATGTCTTTGGTATTGTGAATAGTGCTGTGATGAACATAAAAGTGCATATGTTTTTTTGGTAGAATGATTTATTTTCTTTTGGATATGTACCCAGTAATGGGATTGCTGGGTCAAATGGTAGTTCTGAGTTCTTTGAGAAATCTCCATTTCACTTTCCCCAGTGGCTGAACTAATTTACATTCCCACCAACAATATATAAACATTTCCTTTTCTCAGCAGCCTCATCAGCATCTTAACATGCTGTTTTTTGACTTTTTACTAATAGGCTGAAGTTTTAAATTCATGAAAAAAACATAATTTCAAAGTTAGATTTTTCATTGTAGTTGTGATATATCCCTGGGAATATATAGTTAATTACTATAAATATGAAAATTATTACCTATTTTTTACTTATATGGTTTAAAATTAATATTTGATATCTCAGTGCTATGACTTAGAAAAAATGAAAAGTTTTTATTTGAATCATAAATCTATAAATATTTACAAATATTTTCAATGAGGTACATCTAAAACCATTCAGTTTCAGAGTAGTTTGATGGAGAGTACTAAGTAGCTGTAACTAATCACCATCTTATAAACTACAGTTGAATATGTATTTGAGATCTGTTATTAAGTTTGTTTGTATACTTTGGCATAAAAATGAGAAAGCAGACTTAAAAGAGCTGACTCAAATTTGTTATTTTGTAGTCTGATTTTCTTTCAATTGATTGGTTTACCATTTGTGATTGAGGGTGCTTATTTTCTAAAAGAAGGTAGCAATGTAGACAAGAAGAAAATATTTCCCAGATTTACTATTTGACTTACAAACATTGGATTTAGACATAATATCAAAGAAAAATAGAATTTAAGGGGTACAATTACAAAATTTAAATCGAGTTGTATCTACCTATCTATTTTACTTCCTTACTTTAGTGTAAGAATAAACATTTCATGCCAGGTGCAGTGGCTCACACCTGTAATCCCAGCACTTTGGGAGGCTGAGGCGGGCAGATCACTTGAGGCCAGGAATTCCAGACCAGTCTGGCCAATGTGGTGAAACCCCGTCTCTGCTAAAAATACAAAAATTAGCTGGGTGTAGTGACACCGCCTGTAGTCCCAGCTACACTGGAGGCTGAGGCATGAGAATTGCTTGAGCCTGGGAGGTGGAAGTTGCAGTGAGCTGAGATCGTGCCACTGCACTCCAGCCTGGGTGACAGAGTGAGACTCTGTCCCCACCTCCCTCTCCCCCCTGAAAAAAGAATAAACATTTCAATTATTCCAGAAATTTTGGATAATTAAAAAGAATTCTGGTTATTATCATTTTTATGGATTAATGTTGAAACATTTTCATGGCGTCTTAGGCTTTGTTTCCTGGTGAGTTTATCTTTCCTAACTCAGGTTGTGTGTTGCCATTCCTATGAGGCTTGCCTCACACAGAGTTCCATAACTTTTCTCTGAATTCAGGACCTTTGTGCATACCTCTGTCACAGGAAGGATATACCATATCATTTTGCAGTCTATGTTCTCTTAAAGCCTATGAGCTCCTCAAGAGCTAAGACTGTGTAGTTTCATGATTATTGTATATATCTTGAGCATTAGGATATTGACTGGCATGTATTCAGTACTTAATAAATATTGGTTAAATAAACATTGCCAGTCAGGCACGGTGGCTAACACCTGTAATCCCAGCACTTTGGGAGGCTGAGGCAGGCAGATCACTGGAGGTCAGGAGTTCGAGACCAGGCTGGCCAACATGATGAAACCCCGTCTCTATTAAAAAAAATACCAAAATTAGCTGGGTGTGGTGGCAGGCACCTATAATCTCAGCTACTCAGGGGGCTGAGTCAGGGGAATCGCTTGAACCTAGGAGGTGGAGGTTGCAGACAGCCGAGATCACACCACTGCACTCCAGCCTGGGGGACACGGCGAGACTCCATCTCAACAACAACAACAACAACAAATTGCCTCATTAGATCCTTGTAGCCACCCCGCCAAGTAGATAGTCTAGATGACATTATTATTATTCACTATTTATAGATGAGAAGCCTCAAGTATTTGGAGTTTTAGTAATATGCCCAAAGTCACATTAGTTAATTTTGTAGATCTGGGATTCAGCCCGAGTTTTGTTGGTTTGTTTTATTCTAATATCTGTCATGTTTGGACAGCGTCAAACCCAAGTTTTATGGTTCTAAAACCCATTTTCTGACTAATGTGAAGCATTTTTTTTCTCTCCCCACCCCTTCTTTAAACTATTTTCTAAAAAACTCTTTTTCTTTAAACTTTATTTTCTGCAAAGGTAAACTATCCACAGAGTTCAAAAATTAAAACAATATTGGATTGAGAGTTCTTGCTTTCATTCTTGTCCTTCCCATTCCTCTACCTTCCTGCCTGCTTATTTTTATTCTTTTCACTTATTTACCCCAAATGTAGCATACTATATACACTGATGTGCAACCTGCTATTTTCAACATATATCAGCAATACATTGTTCTTGAACACTATGTGGAGAACTACATAGATAATTTTTAATAGTTGTTTTGAAAAAAGAATAAACTCGTGTATTTTACAGCAACATGGATGGAACTGGAGGCCATTATCTTAAGCGAAACAACGCAGACACAGTCAAATACCACATGTTCTCACTTAGAATTGGGAGCTAAATAATGTTTACATATGGACATAGAATGTAGATTAATGGTCACTGGAGACTCAAAAGGGTGGGAGGCTGGAAATGGAGTTAAGGGATACTTAATGGGTACAGTGTAAACTATTGGGTGTTGGTTACACTAAAAATCCAGACTTCACCACTATGCAATATATCCATGTAACAAAACTGCACTTTTACACCTTAATTTATTTATTTTTGAGACAGGGTCTTGCTCTGTCACCCAGGCTGGGGTGCAGTGGTGCCATCTTGGCTCACTACAGCCTTGACTTCCCCAGCTCAAGTGATCTGCCTGCCTCTGTCCCCCAAGTAGCCGGCACTACAAGTACGTGACACCACTCCCAGCTAATTTTTGTAATTTTTGTAGACATGGGGTTTTACCATGTTTCCCAAGCTGGTCTCAATCTCTTGAGCTCAAATGATCCGCTCGCCTCAGTCTCCCAGAGGGTTGGGGTTATAGGCATGAGCCACTGTGCTTGGCCTGTAGGCCCTTAAATTTACACACACACACACACACACACACACACACACACACACGAGTTGTTTTGTAGCCTTTTTACAGCTATATATAATTGTTTTGTTGGAATGAACTTGTTTATTCATCCTATGGTTGGTGGACACAGGGAATATAGTTTGTTTTTTCTTTCTTTTTTTTTTTTTTTGAGATGAAGTGTCGCTCTTGTTGCTCAGGCTGGAGTGCAGTGGCGTGATCTCGGCTCACCGCAACCTCCACCTCCCAGATTCAAGTGATTCTCCGGCCTCAGCCTCCCTAGTGGCTGGGATTACAGGCATGCACCACCACGCCCAACTAATTTTGTATTTTTTTAGTAGAGACGAGTTTCTCCATGTTGGTCAGTCTAGTCTCGAACTCCCAACCTCAGGTGATTTGCCCACCTCGGCCTGGGAATATAGTTTTAAAATGTCTTTTTATGTAGAATTTCAAGTGTATGCAAAGTGAAGTAGTAAAATGAACTTCCCACATACCCATCGCCCAGCTTCAATACTTACCTCACGTCAATGGTTTTTATCTCTTACCTCCTAGAACTCTTCCACTTTCAGACTTTAAAATTTTTTTTTATTTTTTATTTTGAGGGAAGGTCTCACTGTTAACCAGGCTGGAGTGCAGTGGTGCAATCATGGCCCACTGCAGCTTCGGACTCCCTGGCTCAAAGGATCTTCCTCCTCAGCCTTCTGAGTAGCTGGGACTACAGGCGCCGGCTGCCTCCAGACTATTTTGAAGTGAATCCCAGATATCAAATCACTATAACCATAAATATTTCAGTCAAATAGTATTGTTTGACAATAAGAACATCACTTTTCTATAGTAAGAAATCCATTATAATCTATATATAAGAATAAAAAGATCTATTAAATTTCTTAGGCTTATAGAGATACTCATGTTATAATGTTTCTTATAAGAGAGGAAGAATGCTTCCCTTTAGTTTTCAAAAACCAGGCCAGGAGCAGTGGCTTATGCCTGTAATCTCAGTGCTTTGGGAGGCTAAGGTGGGAGGATCACTTGAAGCTAGCAGTTCAAGATCAGCCCGGACAACATAGCAAGACCCCATCTCTACAAAAAGTAAAAAAAATTAACTGGGTATGATGGCGTGCACCTGTAGTCCCAGCTACTTGAGAAGCTGAGGTGGGAGAATCACTTGAGCCCAGGAATTCAAGGCTACAGTGAGCTATGATCACACTACTGCACTTCAGCCTGGGTGACAAAGTGAGACCTTGTCTCTTAAAAAACCCAAACATTTAATTTATTGTATTTTATAAAAGAAGTATCTGAATGGATTAGTAGGTAAAAATTTGAAACTTTGAAAATTTAGATTGAGTTGTGTCTACATATCTATTTTTCTTTGATAGAATGGGTTATATTGTACCAGCCTATCTTTCATAACACAGTTAACTCTTGTCTTCATTCTTCCACTCTTTCTCCTTTTATTTAAACATATTGAGAAAGGGAATAAACTGTCTTTTGTTTGTTTATTTTTCTTTTTTAAGCCAAAACAGAAAAAAGTGCTTGGATGAATGATAATCTGTTACTGTCAAAGTATTCTACTCAATTTAAGATTGATGCTAGCATTTCTTAGCTTGATTTAATTACTTGTCTGTCATCTGGTAGTTACGGATTCGAGACCTTGAAGGAGCTTTGCAAGTAGAAAAGGCCAGTCAAGCAGAAGCTGTTGCTGATTTGGAAATGATCAAGAATGAATTTAAAGAAGTTGAAAGTGCATATGAGCGAGAAAAGCATAATGCACAAGAGAGCTTTGCAAAACTAAATTTGTAAGTATTCTACTGTAAAATTCTCTAAATTAACATAAAGATTTTATAAAAGCTATGTAAAATATGAATGTATACTATGTATTTTTGATATAGCTCCCATTAATGTCTGTGGTAGATTGGAGTAAGTGACTTCATAAAACATAACTATACTTTCCTGTATAGGTAAAAATGGAAATGCTCTTTTGGATATTGAAGTATATTATATTCCAAGTAGCCCAATAAACTGAGTAATATACTAGGAAGTAAATATATTAATGTAGTTTGTATTATATGATTGATGTAATGCAGTATCTTTAAGTATTAAGACCAGCTTGGGCAACATAGTGAGACTTCGTCTCTACAAAAAAATAAAAAAATTAGCCGGGTATAGTGGTGTGCATGTGTAGTCCCAGCTACTCGAGAGGCTGAGGTGGGAGGATCACCTGAGCCCAGGAGTTCAAGGCTGAAGTGAGCTATGATCTACGGCTAAGATCTGGGGCTGAGATTTCTAAGCCACGTAAAATGGTCTATATGAAGATGGATAATATTTGACATTTTCTCAAACTACAGAAATAATAATAATAGCAGTAATACTGCTACTAGTGGCTAACATGCATTTGTGACTCACTACATACATAGCACTGCATCGTTTCATTTGTCTAACACCCTATGAGGAAGGTACTTTTAAAAATCTCTTTTACAGATGTGGAAATTGAGGCTTAGCCAGAGTAAGGACATATAGCTCCTAAGTGGCAGAATTAAAATCTTTCTGACTCCTACTGATTTTAACCTTTTTCAGTTCAAAAGCCTTTCATCTTCAAAATTCTGTGAAATGCTTTAAGAAGTTTATAATGCATTCATATGTTTCCAAAAATAAGTCAATAGTAGACATTTTAAACCATTTTCCCCCAGAGGGTGAAATTCATACTACTATTTGTGGCATGATAATACACTGGCATATTAGAATTATATTTTAATCTTAGTTTCTATTTATGGCAAGTAGATAATGGTTTTCCATTTGTAGCCACAATATAAAGATTTCTTTTAAAATGCTTTATTGGCTGGGCATGGTGGCTCACGCCTGTAATCCCAGCTGTTTGGGAGGCCGACTCTGGTAGATCACTTGAGTTCAGGAGTTCGAAACCAGCTTGGCTAACACAGTGAAACCCTGTCTCTACTAAAAATACAAAAATTAGCCAGGTGTGGTGGTGGGCACCTGTAATCCCAGCTACCTGGGAGGCTGAGGCAGGAGAATCACCTGAACCCGGAAGGCAGAGGTTGCAGTGAGCTGAGATCGCGCCATTGTACTCCAGCCTGGGCAACAGAGGGAGACTGCGTCTCAAAAAAACAAACAAACAAAAAAAGACTTTATTTATTATAAGAAGTGAGTTAGTTTAAGTGAAAGTATTACTTAAATAGTGGTAATTTTTGTGAGTGTGACAAAAACCATGAAGATTGTACCTGAAAGACTGAAAAAATTTAAAACTCTTTTAAAATGCTGGTTTCTTTAATTAATGATACTTATAATATTTTAAACCAATAATTGTTAACTGAATTTCCTTGCTTCCTCTAGTATGACTTAAATGACATTCTGTGAATGTTATTCTAAGGACTTATTTCTCCTTTATTTTTTTTGAACCGTTGCTTGAATGTGCACATTTAATATATTTCAGTGTATTCAAATTTTATTCAAATATGTATTCAAATATTATTCTGCATATCTATTTGAAAGGCTTTTATGTGGAACATAGTGAAGATTTCTTTACTTTTGCTTTAAGGTAATGATTAGGACCTACAAATAAAACTGTAAGAAGTCAGAATGAGCTCCCAATAATTAAAGCTTTCTAGCAATGAAATAATAGACATCTTTCAGGGAACTAGTGACTCCCTGCCTTGGGAAATTCAAAACACAGAGTGGATGATTCTCTGTCATGGATGTTGAAGAAGAGAGTCTCATAAAGATTGGACCGGAGGAATTTTAACCTACTTGCTAACAATTAAGCTCTGAGTCTAACCTATATACTTTCCTAATTGGACCCCACAGCAGTTTTTTTCCTTAAGTTTATTTTGCTGTTAGTTGTATTTTGGTACTTGAAAATTTTTACTCAAGTTTAATATTCCAGTAAGCACCAACTGACAATTCTAAACATTGGTTACATATTCCAACTAGGCACTAGCTAATTAACACTCCTAATGCTTTAACATAATGTCCCTTATCGCTTCTTCATCTGTATGTAACTGTCATAATAATACACGTTAAATATTATAAATAAATAATGACAGGTAATCGTTAAAGCCCAATAATCGTTGAAAATTTCTGTGACTTTCATTTTCCCATCCCGTCTTCCTTTTCCGTGTATGTGAAATGAAAGCCACTTCCACCCCTTCTGTCTGTAGTATAAGAAGGAATGATATGACTTGAGGGATCTACCTGTACTTCCATTTTCCATTTTCTGCCTGTACTTCTGACTATACTTCAGAATCGTCTTTAAAAAAGGTTTTTTAAATTTCTTAAATATTTTTTTAAAGAAGATTCTGAATTTCTGGAAAAAATTCTGTTGTTTCAAAGTAGTTCTAAGTTTTGGTTAATGTATTCCACATAGAGAATTGATAGATTTTAGGTCTTTAAGGTAAATAATACTTTTAACTTACAACTTTGAGAATGTGGAGTTTTGGAGTAGAATATTGTTTTACCTGTTGTGAACTGATGTAGCAGTTCATCATGCTTGAATCTGCTGTTGGTTAAGGTTCTTAAGCTTCTGTTTCTTGCCAGGTAGACCTAGGCAGGATCTCACTAAAAGGCAGGAGAAAGAAAGCTGTGTTTATATTGCAGAGCTATAGTTTTGGTCCATAATTTCATAACAGTAGACATTCCTGCATGAAATTATTTTAGATGGAATGTATATATTCCATCATTCTGTAATCAAAATTTCTTAGTGTAAAATTTTTTCCATCTAAAACTTACAGTATGAAACTAAAGCTTTTCAATAATCTTTTGTTTTCTTTTTGAACATTTTTTTTCTTTTTAATTATGGGTAAATAATAGTTGTACATGTTTATAGGGTACATGTGATATTTTTATACAAGCATACAATGTGTGATGATCAAATCAGGGTAACTGGGCTATCCATTAACTCAGGCATTTATCATTTATTTATGTTAGGAACATTCCAATTCCACTTTTTTAGTTATTTTGAAATATGTAATAAATTATTGTTGACTATAGTTGCTCTGTTGTGCCACCAAACACTAGATCCTGTTACTTCCATCTAGCTGGATTTTTGTACCCATTAACCATCTGAATTTTCAAATATAGTAAAGTCTTCATTAGCTGTGATAATTGATTGCTGGGCAATAGTAGGGAGAAAGAGAGCATAGTAATCCTCAGGTATAGTTGAAACTTAAATTTAATTTGAAACATCATTAGTCAAATATATCATACTAAATGGACTGCATCTAAATTTATTTCTTAGACTCAATATTTAGGAATTTAGCTTCCTAAATATATCACCCAAAAGGATAAACATAACAACAGCATTGTAACTTAGTAGCACTATTTTTGTTTACATTGTATGTAAAACATAGTCCAAAGATGGCTATTTGTTAAAATAGCCTGTTATTGTCAAATTCTTAGCTGAAGTATTTAAAAAAAAAAAAAGAAGAATGGAACTCCAGTAGGAAAGAAGGCATCCTAGCTACAGACTTACTTCTCCTCTCTTCCCTTTCTTGCCGAAATCCTCCACCTTTTAAGTCCTGGCCCTTTCCCATCAGAAATCAGAGACGAGGCATCTCCTTTACCTGCCCTACTCTTGCCCCACTTACTCCCTCTTAGTTGGGAGTTTAGCAGCGTGGTAAGAGTCAGCTTTTTTGGGTTGTCCACCAGAATGCTCAATAGCAAGGTGTGTTCCCCCATTTCAGTGGACACAGTTTGGCCTTTATTTATAAAATAGTACCCCCCCCCAAAAAAAAAGCTGTGTGTGTATTGTGTGTGTAATGACAGATGCACTTAATTTTATATTTTTTGAGTAATAGTAATTTTTAACTAAAATCTTGATTTTATCAAATTAATACATGTACACAGTCTAATGAATAAAATGGTACTGTTAGGCTCATGAAAAACAACAGTTTCATGCCCCATTGCTCTCCACTATCAGTTTCTACTCCTTTGATGCATTTACTTTCAAATCTTAGTGCTGTTTCTTCTGAAATTTGATTTCATATTTCTAAATAACAAGCATAGTATGCCATTTTTTCAGTTTCTGCCTTTAGATATCTATTGACTTCTACTTATATATCTCTATTATATGCTTCTCCCACACCACAGACACTTACTCCTTCCCCCTTTCCATCCTTTCCATAGAGTTATATTTTTGGGTTCAGCATACTTTATTTTTTCTACAGTTTAATTTTTGTTAACCCATCTTTTTTTTTTATAGCACATTTTATTGTGTTCTTTGTTATTTATTGTCTGTCTTATGTAACAAGAAACTTTGTTTTGTTTATTACTGTCTGTCAATGCCTAGAAAGGTACATAAGAGCTGCTAAATAAAGATTTATGGAATTGGGCTGGATGTGGTGGCTCATACCTGTAATCCCAGCACTTTGGGAGGCTGTGGTGGGAGGATTGCTTGAGGCCAAGGTGGCGGAGGATTGCTCGTGGTGGTGCATGTTTGTAGTCCCAGCTACTTGGGAGGCTGAGGTATAAGGATTGCTTATGCCAAGGAGTTCGAGGCTGCAGTGAGCTATGATCATGCCACTGTACTTCACAGTGGGCGACCAAGTGAGACGCTGTCTAAAAAAACAAAACAGAAAATATTTGCAGAATCAACAGATAAGAATAGTTAATAATTGCCTCATTTAAAACTGTATTAGTTTATGTGATTAAGCAATCACTTATTAAATTATTTCTAAACATTAACAGAACCGAAAGTCTCCCATGTTCCTACACCTCAGAGGTGCTATCATTTTAAATTTCTTCTAAGAGATGTTCCTCCTGGACTCTTTTGTCTACTTCTTCCAGT